ATTCCCGTCTTCATTAAGCCCAGCGCTAACTCCTGAGTCAGTGATGGGACTTTATACAACAGAAGCCTGAAGATGCTGCCGTGGAGGAGCAGCGTCCTGCTCGGCCACGCTCGCTGTTTGAACAAGTAATTCGAGCGGCGTTTAATCAACTAATCAAACAGCGAGGCTACCGAGTGTACTCTGACACCAGCCTGATAATAATTTGACCCTAATTGATCTTTCTGGTTGAGTAACGATTAATCAGGGCGGAAAGGATGAAGACATGAATTTATTAGGTGTCGTTCGGTTCACAGAAAGCAAACAAGGCGCCGTTAACTCCCGGTGCCTCCCTCCGGATCCTCTCCGTTATCATCCACCGGCTCTCCTCTCCGCCGCTGGTCTGAACAAACTCTGTGCTCATCCCGACCTTCACTGCTACCATGAACCCACTCGCTTCCTGACTCCATCCTGCCTGTGTTTCACCCTCTGACCAGCGCTGTGCTGTAAACACACACTTATATCCAGAGTGGAACCGGTTCCACGAGTTCATCTTTCGACTGACATTATGTTTATTAGACTGTGTTAGCGCTTGTACCTGCACATGTGTGTGTGTGTGTGCAGCTTCATGCACATCTCCTCTGAGTTCATCCGTCTGAGTGCATTCTGTGTGTGTGTGTGTGTGTGTTCACTCTGGTCCAGTGTTGTGTGAGCGCCTCATCCGTTATGTCAGCTCGGTAAACAGCCACTGGACCTGTGTGTGTGTGTGTGTGTTCATTATTCTTTAAATAGCCTGTGGACAGTCATGTTGTAATGTCCTGCAGGTCTCCCCACCAGTGACCTCCAAGCATGACATTATGTTGGCTCTTTATGGTAATGCGCTGCTCTGGGAAAACATCACAGGACTGCAGAAGAACTACAAAACCCTCAGCGCCCTGCGAGCCGCACGCTGAATACAAAGTTCAACTGGACTGTAATGGCAGAAACAAAACTAGTCAGAACACTAGTCTTCCCTGAAGACCTGGAGCCCTGCTGGTCTTCCTACTGACTGTATGAACCACCGTGTTCCTACAGATGGAGCATCACTCACACCACAGCGTTGCCTCCACCTTCTTATGGGACATGTTTGTACTTTTCTCAACCTTGAAACTTTGACTTTGTGCCCGAGTGATGCATTTTCATAGAAGTTCTCACTTTCTGATGTTAGAACACGAGTTGATGATCAGGTGTTAGAAATAAAAACAAGATCAAATGGCAGCAATAATGTAAAGCGAGGTTCAGAACTGACACATCTGAAGAAGCTGCATCCTGTACATCCCACATCACGTTTCAGACACCTTAAGAGTGATTAGAAATACGTACAGATGCACGTTAATGTGGATTACAGGCCTTTGCGTTTCATCAGACCTCACAGATACGACTGAAGTAAATAAAAAATGCTCCATGGACTGATTGCACTTCATCGGATTGGACAACACTTGGAGCTGCAGCAGTGAGCAGCGTCCTCAGCTCCTCTGTCTGGTTAGACTTCTACCATCCTCTGTGTTTAGTCATTATTTTCATCCTTTATCAGAAACAGCTGATGTGCCTCCAGGACGGTCGGGGGCTGCTGCATCAGCTCGGCTTCAACGAAAATTAGAATAATGAATAAAAGCTTTGCAAAGGACATTCATGATCATCATCCTCATGGGTCGGGAGTAACGGCGTTGTGCCGCTGCCTACAGTGCCCTGTCTATTACCCAGAGATCAATAGCACTTGAGCTGAATGTCGTTATGGTTATTAGGCTGCTTGTCTGTATGGTCACCAGGCTGGAGGACATTATGCAGGCCAGCCTGTGCTTATATGTGAGTACACGAGTGTAATGACAAGTATCCGCTGGTGTTGCTGCGAGGTGTATTATGCACGGGTGGCGTGCACCCAGACTGCCGATGATCTGAGATACACGCCGGTGATGAATGCTGACGTCTGGGCGCGATTCATATGCGGCGTAAGTGAGTAGTTCCAAGGTCAGAGGAGAGAGAGTGATGGAGGACGGAGAGGGAAAGGTGAGCACAGAGATACACAGAGGCAGAGCCAGATAAGGGAAACAGATGCAGTGAGAATAACTCTCAGGAGGGATAAACAAAGGTACGGCCTAATGGCTGCTGCACCAGCAGGATGGGAAGACATTATCCCAGCTCACTGTTCAGTTTGTTAAGATTCCCTGAGCTCACGTTCATCAGACTGAAGCTGCAGGTTAAAGGATGAAGCTGTAACTGAAGCATGGAAACGTCTCCTCCTTGTGATTAGAAGCACATGACGAGCCACATTGTTGGACTGGATGACAGCTTCCTTCACTAACATGAACACACACGGCGGCTTGTTTTCAGTCGACCCCACCGAGGCCGTTTTGTGTCTTAAATATTTAGCAGCACACCAAATGTTTATGGGTCCACAGCTGAAAGCGGTCAGTAGTTGTCTTGGTGTTTTCTAGAAATGACAGAACCCAGCTGTTTGGCGACATTTAGAGAAAAAAAAGAAGTAAAAAGCTGATTTAAAGGCTTCCATCTTTATGATAAACAAATGAAGCTTGTCAGTAAAAGAAAAGCCTCAGACGTGAAAATTGGAAAGTATTGAGAGATGAAATCCTGAAAACACGTTGGCCTGAACCGCTCGACTCATTCCAGCACGTCGCTAATGAAACCAACATCCACAGCTAATATGCTCTGAAAAGTTCTGTCTGGCACCTAAAAATAGATCCAGCCTCTAAATGTGGTCCGTTGTGTTTACATACCGACTTCAGCAGGGTGAACGAAATGAGGGAAACGGGCCGAGAGAGGCTCAGAGAGAGAAGCGAAAGTGGGAGAAGCTGAAGTTCAAAGTGTGATGTGGAGAGAGGCAGATGGTGAGGAGGGAACCGAGGAGACGGGGTGGAGGAGCAGAGATAAAGATAGAGACCGACATGGAGAGCGAGAGGAGGAGGAGGAGGAGGAGGAGCAGAGTGTTGATGTGACGGGAGAAGGACAGCAAGAAATAAAAATAAAAATAATGGATGGAGATGGAGGCTGCAGAGATGATGGAGTCCGTAACCTGGAGGGACAAGGAGGAAGGGATGTGGCAGAGGAGGAGGTCAGAGAGCAGGTCAGGAGCCAGAGCTGTGTGGAGACGTTCAAGGACAAGCAAAGAGCAAAATGCTTCCAGGGTTAAGCTCTCACTAAAGCTCCTTCCCTTTCTTTCTTTGGAAACCTGAGAATAAATGCTCTTTCTAATGATGGAGGAGGATTATGATGTTACCTTCCCTGCTCTGGTAGCAGCTGAATGCCATCTGAAGGAAGCTGAACAGAGACCTCTGGTCAGTTATTAAAGCTCTGAATAATATCGTCCCTCACTTCTGATGAAATAGTAGATTTAAAAATACTCCTGTTGAACTGTAGAGGAGGCTGCACCCAGGACTCCACATCTACAGTCTCCTCTCTTATCTCCTCCTCTCCTCTCTTATCTCCTCCTCTCCTCTCCTCTCCTCTCTTATCTCCTCCTCTCCTCTCCTCTCCTCTCCTCTCCTCTCCTCTCCTCTCTTATCTCCTCCTCTCCTCTCTCCTCTCCTCTCCTCTCCTCCTCTTCGTCACATCAAGCACAGAGGCATCATCATCATCACCATCAAAGCAAACATCAAAGTCAGACTCTTTGGTTTTCCGCTAAGATGCAAATAGCTTTTTATGTAAATAAAGTCACACCATCCATTCAGAGGGACTCGACTGAGAACAGATCAAAGAAAAATAAATCATCTTTTGGCACCAGCACACATATTATTGTGGGGAAGGGTGGAGCAGCGTGGAGATGGGACGGGACGGACCCAAAGATGGAGGGCGAGACGGCGGCGAGCGGAGAGAGAGAGTTTGGGTTTGTTAAAGGGGAGAGCGGAGGATGGAAGAACAAACAGTGTGGGGTTAATGTTAATGGGGACGAGGATCTTGTCCCATTAAATATAGATGTCTCTGTTATGGGACATGAAATATACATGAAACACGGGTCGGACATCTGTATCAGCTGCGTTAAGAGCCACGTCTGGCTGGATGGAGGGAGAGAGGGACGCTGGCTGGAGTGGAAAAGAGCAAAATGGAGAGGCATTGTGGGAAAACAAAGGAGGGAGGGCCGGACTGAGAGAGAGACATCAGAGCCAGACAAGGATCTGGACAGCTTTTGATCCGAGGCCAGTGGGGGCACTTTCTTTTCTCTCTCCTTCTGTCTTTTGTTCATGGACGAGGGGCTTTTCCTCAGATGGAGATCAATATTTTATTGTTGTTTCTTGTTGTGCTGTGATCCTCAGTGTTTCGGTGTTAATCTGAGGTCTTCGCTCCTTGTGGTCAGAGCCAGGTCCCGTGGGGCTTATCAGCAGACCTGAGCTGCTGACCCGCCGGCCCGCCACAGCTCCCATTAGGCTCACATATATCCCCTAACCCCGGAGGTCACGCTCCCGACGACTCCTTCTTCCTGACAGGACGTTAGCAGCGAGCGAGCTGCTGCTGGGATGAAGGCAGCAGAAACAGAAAGCAGGAGTCAGGATGGAGAGTTTTACCTTCTCTTTGATAGTGAAAGTGACAGTTTGCTCCAGATGATGAGGAATAAAATCAGACTGAACATCTGACTTTTGTTTTGCTTGTTCAGTGAGATGAGATCAGAAAAATGAGTAAACTGCACAAAGGTGGTAAAAACAATAAAGAAACTCTGTCCTGCTGCTGACCAGTGAATGAGCTGAGGTCAGCTGTGGTCTGAATGCTGAGTCCATTTGTCCCTGTTCAGTGTCAGATATGAGTGGACAGGTGTTCCCAGGTAAACTGTCTGTTTGTGGAGCTGGGAGCCAGTCAGACCACATGCAGGGCTGCCTCCATGCAGGATGCTGTATCTGGTGCATATATTATTATGAATACTTTCATTTGACTCTTTGCACTCACACAGGACTGATGACTCTACGCTGATGTGTCTCCTGCTACCAGCTGCTGCTGGCGGATGCATTTCATCTCCTCCTGTCTGTGTTTCTGTCCAGTTGCCAGGAACCAGTATGAGCGGATGGGCGGCGACGTCACCATGCAGTGCGGCTCCCTGGACAACGACGCGTCGGTGTCGTGGAAGGTGAACGGGACAGATGTGAAGGCCCAGCACCGTCTAGAAGGTCCCAGACTGATCCTGACCCAGGTGGATCTGGGCCACAACGGGCTCTACAGCTGCTTCCAGAACCCCCACGGAGAGAGACGCGACACCATCTTCCTCCACATCGGCAGTGAGTGGCCACACATCTGAATATTATTTCAAATAATGAATCTTTAATCATGGTGCAGCTGGACTGTGATGCAGCTCCACGTCCAGTGGAAATATACAGAATGAATTCATAATGCACAGTCCTATACATCTCAGCTGCTGTGCAACAGCAAAAACAACTTGCATGAAATGTTCCAGGCGTCTGAGATACCATCCGGCTCAAGACTGTGTTATAAGGCTGCTTGGTGGAGATGATGAGGATCACACCATGACTAGAGCAGTTTAACCACCAGCAGAGTTCAGATCTGCTTCAGAGCAGTCGTTTGTTATCAGTTGTTCTTTACTCTGCGTCAGCACGACACATTACATTCATGAACGTTTCTGCTGACAATGAAACGTTCAGAACGTCCTGATTAACTGCTTTCATTGGGTCGGCACACGTGTGACTGTGTTTATGTTTTGTGGTTCAGAACCGATGCTTTCTCTGGACAGCTGCTCATTCTCGTGGCGTGTTTGGTTTTACTTGTGATGCCGTGTTCACGTCAGTCTGAAAAGCATCAAGCTGGGAATGAGGAACATGAGCAGGAAGCACATTTCTTCCTCTTTGCAGCTCTCTGCTGTTGCTGTTTTCATTTCTGTCACTACTTTGATTCAGCTTCTACGTGTAAAGTCCCTCTTCTGCTTATGTTTGTGTCGTATTGCAAGTGAAGCGTGAAGCTAATTAGACACATCCACCCTGAGGTCACGGATGAGACTCTAGAAAAGTCATTTTGCCGATTTGCCAGGTGCTGGATGCGACTGTGGGCGGTCTGCTGTGTGGAGAGGCAGCGCGCCTGAGGAGCGCTGCTGAAGGAATTACAGCCACTCCATTACTGCCACATTAGCGCTAAACTGATTTACACGTAGGTCCTGACTTTATGACTTTGAGTCAACGCTACTGGAATTGAAATAGTGACTGAGACTAAGTTGGCGACCAACTTTCCTGAATGCTGTTGAGATTAAAAGTAATTCAAGTCCTCAGAGTGACTTTTTTTGTTCATATTTTTGTTGCTTGCTCAGTAAAACCCTTCAACTAAATGACAAATTTAATAGTAAGTTATAATGTTTGAAGGGCTCCTTCATTTAAATTTTAAACACCAATATAAACTTGAGTTGTCTTGATAGCGCTGCTCTCAGCGCTGCCAGCCGACTCGTTCTAGTGATTAGTTGTTAAAATGACATTTGGTCTTTTTGCTGTTACGGCGGTGCATTTTAATAATCGTACAAACGCTGAGCGGCGTCTGTTTTACGGCGGCGACCTGTCGGCTGGCCTCCGGCGGTCTGCGGGGGGCTGCTTCAGACGCCGGCGCTGACTGATGGACGGACGGGTAACTGACAAGAACCCACGAGGATAATTAACACCGTTTTGTTAAAGTGATATTTAACCCAGAGTGAGAAAAATCTTTATTTAGACTTTAACAATCAAACAGTTTAATTACGGTGGATGTTGCTGTTCTTCATTCTCAGGTGTTCTCACAGCAGGTGAAGGCAGTCACTCTGTGTTATTACCACCATACGGTCGCCCTCTGGAGGAGCAGGATTTAAATACTTACAATACTTATACACTAAAACTGATCAGATTCTATAAAACCAGATAGTTCTGCACTCTTCAGCTGTTATGGATCCGTCTGAACCACCGGACTAATTGCGTGGATGTATTTGTGATGAGTGCAGCAGTTTTCCGTCTTTGTTGTATCTTATACAGCATTTTGAGTTACCACGGTAACACTAGTGATTCACTGATGGAGGTCTGAGTGAAACGGACCACGTCACCTCCATTGCATCAGAACTTGTTCAGTTTGGAGCGAGAAGAAATTCCACCTTAAAATTCAAGGACTGTGTAGCCGGACCGGGCTGAACCGCAGGCGGCAGGAATGGAAACCAACACACAACACGTTCCTTTGCTGTGATTTCTGGTTTATAACTGAGTCCTACTGAACAGAAGACAGTTGTGACGTCTCTCTGCTTCGGGTCATAGTCGTGGTGTTTGCATATCAGTGCCTGCCTTTAAAGTAGAGCCACAGTGAACACCTGAGGTTCAGGTGGATCGGACCTACAGTACGACTGATGAATGGATCCTTTGAGTGACATCGGCCGCCAAGGCCACGCCAGCATTCAGCTGTTTCCATACAACTCACTAATACTTCACATTGGCTTGGTTCTTCTGCCTGAACGCCGTCCTTCAGCTGTTTGAGCACATCTGTCTGCAGCAAACGGCTCCTGATCGATGGCGGCACGTCGCCTGTTAAAGGACATATTGGAGACGAAGAGTCGTTAGTCAACAATGAGTTAATCTTTTCTTATTGTCAAACAGGAATGGTTATCTCAGGCAGGCAGCATCCTCCACATGCACATGGCCGCTCTCGTCTGCCCTCAGTTTCACTGTGCTGCTAGTAAACGCCACGGACGGCGTTTTAAATTACATTTCCACAGGACTGCAGTGGCCAGCAGGTGGAATTAGATATCTTCTGGGCATCAATCACGGCAGTCCACTTCTCAATGTGGCCAAAAGTGACAAATTTTTGATGCACTGCGAAAGAAAAGCCTTGATTCATCACCGGCATGGCGCTGAAAAATATGAGCCGGACCGGTTTTCTTCCTTCTGACACTTTTGTGTTATTGAGTCCAGCTCAGGTCAACATTTAGAGAAGGCTGAACTGGAGGTGGACGGCTGCTGGTTGTGTCCTCGTCTGTGCAGAGTCAAAGTGTTAAATGTCTTCAGTACACACCACATACGGAGCGACTGCCTTTAATCAAACCGCATTTCAAAGAAAAGAAGCCGATCGAGCTGAGGAAGCGGTCAGCACACCTTCAGCTGAACTGTAAAGCGTGATTCCATCTGCTGTCGACGGTAGAAGTCCAGCTCGCCACCCATCACGCAGTCACTCCGGCGCTGATGTCAGATCTAACATTTCCATGCAAATGTTTGATGAATGAGAGCGTACGGGTCTGTGACAGTCGGGTTAATCATATCGGCAGTGATGAATTACTGAATTCTAAAATAATACTGAATTAATGAGAGTTTTATGTTATGCTGGATTATGTCAGCGGCTGAATGATGCAATGCATAAACAGGGAGCATGTGTGTGTTTCTTTCTTCTGAGACTTTCACTGTGCATCGGGGGTCCGGTACCGGTCTGAGGGAACAGTACCGCGGTGCTGGAGCGTAGCTGCACTGATAACAGTTGGTGATGTTACGACACCTTCAGGACGAGGCAACGTGGACTGATTCAGAACCCAGAGCGACTCCCTCTTCTGCTGTGTCTCTAACTGTCCCTGTTCAGGCGGCGTTCCCTTTATCGCCCCCTCCCTGTGCGTTCGTCCTCTGCGTCCCCCAGCTCCACTTCCTGTCTGCATTCTGCACCGCGTTAACTGTCACCTACAAACTTTAAAGCGCCGCGCTGATACAGTGATAATTACATCATGACAGGCTACACTCGTCGTGATCAGCGCCGCGATGATAGTTTGAGTTTATGCAGTGTTTATGACTTTCACTGGGGGCTTGTTATGTTTTACACAGATAGAAGTGTTATCAGGAGGATAGCGCGCAGCCATCTGTCTGTGATTTGGTGGCTTTTTTCCTCCACTGTTTGTCTCTTCAAACTTTGCCTCTCATCGTTTCTCAATCCTTCCTCCTTATGTGTGCCGCAGCCTTCTAGTTTTCTCGTCCTTCTTACATTTCGCTGCTCCGGCTCGTAGTTTGCGGCGGCTTTGTGTTTACGCTGGTTCGCATTAAGAGCCGAGGACGTCATACGGCGACCCCCAGACTCCTCTGTGTGTACGCGGCCCACCTTCACACCAGCGCTATGGGTCGTGTCAACACAACGTCAGGAGACGGCAGCGAGCGTTTCCATGTGAACGTATAGCGGCGCTGTGATGTCTGCTTCGCTTCGCTCTCGGCCTTATATCACGGCTGTATATAGCTGCAGGATGTTTACATTCTCTGTCACTCTGGATACATACAAACCCACAATTACTTTAAAAAATACACTGAAACATGCATGATGTCAAGTTGTTTGCTGGCGTGTGTGTGCATGTGGACGGACTTTGCATTTGTGTGCTGAAAAGTTTGGAAAAGTTTCCCATCCAGTGAACTTGATGCCGTCTTTACGCCATATCTTCAAAAAACAATAGAAAAGGATGTTTAGTGGTAGAGAGATCAGCAGTGACAGTCTGATGACAAAGTGAAAGAGAAAATGAAAGAGTGCGGCCAGTAAAAGTTCATTATAATTTAATAAAGCAAGAGGTCATAAAGCTCTGCAGCTCTTTGCTGAAATACAGCATCCTTTACTTTGCTGTCACAACAGGGAAGTTATTGCTGTCCTGCCCTTTTCTGGCTTTGTCCACTCTTGTATCTATCGCTGCCTTCAGTGGCCGTCAGCGAAACAATTTATAGGAAGACGACGTGGGCTGCAGCCGCCTCCCAGCACTGGGTCGTATATCCAGCCGGTCGCCCTGGTGGAGGCAAACCGTCGGCCGCGGGGCACTAAGTGCACCGGGGCAAAGTCAGTCAGGCAGCAGACCTGAAGCTTCATGTCAGTCTGAGGGTCCTGGTACAGGTACAGCTCAGTCACAACAGAACCAGGACCTGACTCTTCCCCAGTAGACATTATAAAACTGTTCAACTGACTCCAAAGAGAGGCAGGAGAACATGTGACAGCTTACATACATGTTTGTGTATGCTACAGTATGTTGGACCACTTTCACCATTAGTCAGGCGATATAACCATTATTTATTGCTCCTGTCATATTTTTCTGTTTACTTTGGGCTCATGGTGATATAAAGTCCTCCACCTCTATGAACCAGCACAGCCAGAAGTAGAGCCACTCAAAGTTATGATGCCATAAATCATAAAACAAGTTAAGTCTCTTTGATTATTTATTTTACAAAAAAAAGAAACCTAAATTGGAATCAGGTTGTACGGCGTTCTCCCCAGTGCACACCGATTACAGAATCTGCTTCGTGCAAATGGTTTATTTATT